CAGAATCAGAGCTGCTCAGTTGCATGCTATAGGCCCCACACTGTTAATAGCTATGAGTGATTCCTCATGAAGCCTGGATTTTTGGAGCAGGAGGATCTGAGCTCTGTCCCCACCTTCACTGTGAGGTTCAAAAAGGTGGGCAGCAGCAGCACGACAACTGGTAGACAAGAGAATTTCTTTTAAAAGAGAATTTCTTTTAATGCTGTTATTTAAGGGTTGGACTGGAGATATGATGGACTGTGCAATGTTAATAAATGAAATGAATGATGATAAACAGCTACAAGCTGACCAGAATTAGAGTAATTTTAAAACTTTATTCATGCATTTTGATTCAATGAAATAAAATAATATTTCAGGCTCTACTGTATTGCTGTATAATTTTGTAGGGATTCAGGATTGTTGTTAAATCATGCATCAATTACTCTGCAACCTGGCTGAGAGGGGGTGTGTGTGTGTTAATTACATTGTAGGGGTGTATGGGAGAGGTAGTACCTTTGAGTGATTTGAACTACTTCAGGGGTTCTTTTCCTCTGTGGTCCAGTCCTCCCTGTACACCCAGCTCTCACCTGTGGCTCCAAGTAGCTGTAAGTATGCAACAGTGGCCACAGCCCGTTAAACTGATTTGGCAGGCAGGCTACACCATGTGAGGGTAACCGAAAGTGTGGAAACAGATGGTGACTTCGGGATTGCCTTCCCAAACATACAAAGACTATTCTGGTAGCCGAGGTAAAATATATTGGTCCAACGACTTGTAAAGCCATATTGTGGAGGGCAAAAGGCATGATAGGGCACTAGAGAAGTCATGGCTATCCACAGCAACTAAAGAAGCCTCCAGCTGTAACAGCCTTTGTGTCACTGGCCAAGCTTCAGCAGCCAGGAGAATGGGACTGTCCCAGTGCAATGACTTTCCCATTTTAATCAACTTCACGCACACGTCATTCATGCACATTTGTCTTCAAAAGTCCTGTGGGAATGCCGAAGTGGCAAAGCAACAGGTGAAGATGATTACTAGCAGTCGTAGCCACAAGCCTGCACACAGGCGGCCTGGGACACTGGTCTCCCATCCCTGACCCAAGGGCAGCAAGGAAGCTCGGCAACACCCCAGGTGACAGAGCAGACCTTTTTAGGATTGCACTGCTCTCCCTTTTTAAGGGAAGGGGCTAGAAAAGGTGCCTCAAATATTGCCTGCCCAAATTAAATCTGGCTAGCTTACCGTGCTGGCGGATCATCCTCAATGTGGTCAAAAACTAAAAAGGTACTAAGGATTGCTGCTTGGAACATCAGGACTATGATAGACAAAGATGATACTTCTCAATTTGAAAGAAGAACTGCTCTCCTTTCAAAAGAGCTAGCCCAATATGGGTTATACTGCATTTTAGTGATGTGATAATAAAATGTTTAAAACCCACCAGACTCTGTCTTGGCTAAAACCTGAATGGAAAAGACTGAGACACAAATATGTAGGACACTGCAAGATAGGTGTCAGGACAGAAGTAAAGGGAATCAAAGATGGCTACACAGTAGCAGTGCTGCCACAGCAGTGGAGAATACAGACTGAAAACAGTGGTAGCACTGGGAAAATCATGGCACAGATCCAGAACGAGGAATACACCCACCAAGAGACAGCTGAGAGCACCTCAGAAGCCCTGTGGGGGTAAGGGTATCTTTTGTGCAGAAATGCCAGACTTCAGAGTAACAGCCGTGTTAGTCTGTATTCGCAAAAAGAAAAGGAGGACTTGTGGCACCTTAGAGACTAACCAATTTATTTGAGCATAAGCTTTCGTGAGCTACAGCTCACTTCATCGGATACATCGATCACGAAAGCTTATGCTCAAAGAAATTGGTTAGTCTCTAAGGTGCCACAAGTACTCCTTTTCTAAATGCCAGATGAGTATTATTATCCCTATTTCATGGATAGGGAAACTGAAGCTAAGGCTATGTTTACACTATGGAACTTACAGCAGCGCAGCTGACCGCTGCAGCTGCATCGCTGTAAGGTCTCCCTTGTAGCTGCTCTATGCTGGAGGGGTGGGAGGGAAGCTCTCCCGCTGGCATAATTAAACCACCCCCAACAAGCAGTGGTAGCTATGTCCGAAGGAGACACTCTCCCACTAACAGTGCTGTCCACACCTGCACTTTTGTCAGTGAAACTTTTCTTGGTTGGGGTGTTTTTTTCACACCCCTAGCTGACAAAAGTTTTACTAACAAAAGTGCTAGTGTAGACATAGCTTAAGTGACATAGCCAGAGTTGCATACAAAGTTAGTGGCAGAGTTAAGAATACAACCCAGAATACCTGATTCCCAGTCAGGAGTGAAGAGAAGTGTTTCTTGGGGAGAAGAAACTCCCATTTCCTTCCCACATCAACAGTGGCACCCATCAGCCCGATCTCCTCCCTACTCCACTAGCAGGATGGGAATAGGGGACAACATTATAGTGATGAGGGCAGTATAAGCACCTGAATATAATAGAACAAACCTCTCCAACCAGTTCCTTCCTTGGACCACTCTTGCTTGGAGTCCCACAAAAGAGTCAGTCCCTGGTTCTGAAGGATCTATGTACAGTTTTATTTGCCCAGCCAGATCCCTGTCCAGATGGACTTTCCCTTGTGGCCACTTTCTGTCAACTGTGACTTAGTTACTCAACTTAGTTCATAGGGGTTTCGGGAGCGTGCAGGTACCATCCAGCCTCAGTAGTAAGGATGGAGGAAATGGGGGTGGGGTGTTATCTAGTCTCACTAGTAGGGGTGGAAAGAGCAGAGGCTCCTGGGGAGAGAGTATGGGGACATCCCAGTTTAAGCAAAAGAAATAAAGTCAGCAAAGCCTTGTAATGCACACCCACCCCCATTCATCCTTTGTCTGCATGCTCCTTATGGGCACTGTAATCTCATCAGGCTTCCCTCTGGACCCACTGGGTGGCTGGGCAATGAAATGGCAGATGAAATTCAATGTTGATAAATGCAAAGTAATGCATATTGTAAAACATAACCCCAACTATACATATAAAATGATGGGGTCTAAATTAGGTGTTACCACTCAAGAAAGAGATCTTGGAGTCCTTGTGGATAGTTCTCTGAAAATATCCACTCAGTGTGGAACAGCAGTCAGAAAAGTGAATCATTAGGAAAGGGATAGATAATAAGACAGAAAATATCATATTGATATTTTATATATATCAAAATATCTCTATATAAATCCATGGTACACATATCTCAAAAAAGATATATTAGAATTGGAAAAGGTCCAGAAAAGGGCAATAAAAATGATTAGGGGTATGGAACAGCTTCCATATGAGGACAGATTAATAAAACTGGCATGGGTGGCGTGTGAACTGCCAGCTGGGGGGAGGCTAAGGAGCCCTGCCCCTTCTGCCTGAGGTTACGCCCCTTCCGCCCCCCCGGCAGCCACCAGCCTAGTCCCACAGCTAGCCCCCCAGCCCCAAAAGAGTGCCAGGAGGGCAGGCAGCACGTGGCCCCAGCCTGGAGCACAGGAGGGCAGGCAGTTCACGGCCCCAGCCTCCCCAACACCAGGAAGGTATGCAGCCCAACCCCCACAGTCCTGGAACGCAGGAGGGAGGATGGCACATGGCCCCAGCCTTCCCAGCCCTGGAGCACAGGTGGTTCATGGCCCCAGCCCTGGAGCACCAGGAAGGTGGGTGGTACACGGCCCCAACCTCTCCAGCCCTTGCCGGAGCAATGGGATCTGGAGCTGGAGGACCAGAGCCACACACGGGGAGCAATCGTGACAGGGGGTGGGGCCACCCCTGGCTGTTTGAGGAGACAGAGCCTCCCCCAGCCTATGCGACCCACAGCCCATGAAGACTGGGACTTTTCAGCTTGGAAAAGAGACAACTAAGGGGGGTTATGATAGAGGTCTATAAAATCATGACTGATATGGAGAAAGTAAATAAGGAAGTGTTATTTACTCCTTCTCATAACAGAAGAGCTAGGGGTCACCAAATTAAATTAATAGGCAGCAATTTTAAAACAAACAAAAGGAAGTATTTTTTCACACAGTGCAGCGTCAACCTGTGGAACTCTTTGCCAGAGGATGTTGTGAAGGCCAAGACTATAACAGGATTCAAAAAAGAACAAGATAAATTACTGGAGGATAGGTCCATCAAGGGCTATTAGCCAGGATGGGCAGTCCCCATCTTGTTTCCCAGAAGCTGGGAATGGGTGACAAGTGATGGATCACTTGATGATTACCTGTTCTGTTCATTCCCTCTGGGGCACCTGACATTGGCCACTATCCGTAGACAGGACGCTAAGCTAGATGGACCACTGGTCTGACCCTGTCTGGCTGGTCTTATGACTATAAGGTGCCCAGCAGACTGTCACCTATACATGTAATAATAACAGCGTTTACTCCACTTTTCTACACGCTCACCAGCCCAGCATCTCTAGTCCCCACCCCCAGGCCTCTGGAGCACCCTGCTGTCCAGGAGGGCTCTGGAGTCGGTTGGGTGCACACCAACAGCAGGGCACCCACCCTGCTGTGGATGGCTGGGTCCCCAAGATCCGGGGATCCTGGGCGCTGGCCTAGGCAATTGCCCCGTGCGACGCACTTCCTCGGTCTACGAAGATCATTACCCTCCCCCCGCTCTCTGAACCCCAAGAAAAACGCCCCCGCTCCGCGGGCCACTCATGCAGGCCTTATCTCCTCACAGCTCGGAGAGGGGCGGTGCCTGCTGTGCTGGACGCGCCCCATATGCTAATGTGCGCTGAATCACGCTCAGCTGTGGCCGATGCGCCGGGAGGAAGCGAAGTACAGGGAGTGGACTAAACCATCTGCGCACGGAAGAAGGGCAGGATGATATTCAGATCCCCCCTCACGCCGCTTGGAGACGGACAGCTGGGACCCTGTTTGGTTTGTAACGGGGGATGATGTGCTTGACGGTGTTGTAGGCTGGGGAATGGCGTTTGCATGTTCATGAGTGAGGCGTGAAACCCACCTGGCTGTGAGTGGTCCGACCCCCGAGCGGCGGGGGAAGGAGGGAACTCCGGCGGGCGGGTCATGTGACCTGTCGGCGACCGCCATTTTGTCCTGCGGAGGTTGGGTATTTAGAGCGCAGCGTCCGCAGACAGCGCCTATCAGTAAGGACCCAGCCGAGCACCCGCGCTACCACTGCTGCCCCCCCCGTAGATCGGCTTGCGCCCCGACCCCGTCCTAGCGCGGTCTCCGCCGTTTTGTCGCTGAGCACTGCCTCAGGAGGAGCCGGAGCCTCGAGGCAGAAGGAGACCGTCCGCTCCCCGCAGCGCGCAAGTACCGACCGCGGCCCAGCACCGCCCAGCCATGTCCGAGGGCAGCGCTCCCGAGTACGCCTCCTTCTTCGCAGTGATGGGCGCCTCCGCCGCCATGGTCTTCAGTGGTGAGACACCCGGCTCCTTCCCGAGCCCTCGGCGGTCTGGGGGCGATGGTTGCTTTCCCTCGCCGGGGGGCGTGATGTCCGCGGTGCCTGCGCCCTTACCTGGGGGGAGTGGGGGGCTCTTTCCGGCCCTCGGGCGGGGGCGCAGGCTCTGTTAGCCCGCGATGGGCTGTGGGGGAGGCTCGCGTTCCCGGGACCTGGGGAGTGATAGCTGCTGGACGGGGGGGTGCTGGCAGAGGGCTTGCTGTTTGGCAGTGCTTTGGGGCTGGAGGGGGGACTCGCCCCAGGCTGGGGCTCCTTGGCCGCGCTCTGCGACCGCCTAGGGGCAGCGCCGCCCGCCGGGCAGCTGACACTTGGGATGTCTGGGGAGGCAGGAGCGGCTCCACCGCAAGGCACCAGGACGCCGCTCCCCGGGTATGGGGGTGGCCCGTACACTGGGCTTTCGGGATGTTACTGCGGGGGCGGACCCTGCCGAGCCTGCAGTTCCCGTGGCTTGCTGCGGCTCCCCCCTTGGCGAAGCTCTTCGCTTTCTCCGCCTCCTGCCGCCATCCTGCCCAGCTGCTCCATCCGGGCTACTGTGGGCCCTCGGAAGGTTCCGGAGGGAGGGGCCTCCAGGGCGAGACGCTGAGGGTCTGAGGCTGACGTCACTGGGGAGACTCTCAGCTGGTGGAGGAGCCCCGGCTGATCACGTGACTGCAGGGAGGGTGTGGGGGTTGGTAAGGAAGACCTGTGCTTAGCAAAGAGCCTAATGCGGATGGCCTGAGCCAGCTAGGGCGGTTGGTGCAGGTGCTCTCCCAAGAGGGCTTTTCCTAGTAAATGTGTTGTAAGGACAATGCTGCTATGAATGGGGAAGGGGGCTGTTTCCATATGGCTGAATAGGTGTCCACCTTTCTGACTAATGGAAGCCTTGCAAAGAGGGGGCATGTAAGTGACTGATCTACAATAGCTTGCCATCTCAATTCACAAGACCAGGGTAAATATTTACTACTTACTGTAAATCTGACTAATGAGCTAACCCACTGGATACCAAGAAAAGAGGACCATTTTGAGTGAGTTTCTGACTTAGTGAGTGATCCCAGAGCTGTTAGTGGGTACAGGGTCAGTTGTAGATGCCCATATGACTACTAGTAATTGTTGTCTCAGGCTTATGAAGCTATGGTTAGCTTTAACAAGTAACTAAATTCCATCCAACCTAAAGATCACTTCTGGATATGGATTAACTTTGGCTGTTAGTACTTGACAGACTAAACTTTGACAAATTCTGAATGTCAGTGTAAATGTAAACCTTGGTTAACCAACGAGTTCTTCTGGGGTATGTGGTCTTTAGTCCTAATGAATTAGATTTGTTAATCATGGCATTAAGTAAATCTGTCACACTGACTTTCTAGGAACTTTCTTCATTTTGTAGAATAAAAAGCCAGATGGAACCTTCTTTCACTTCATATATGGGAAAATCTAAAGGAAGCCACTCTGGTCACCTGCAGCCACTGAACTCAAAGCAGTGAATCCTTCACATGCTTGTACAATCACCCAGTCACATTGTACTCTATACACAGAGGATTACATTGGCACAATACTGACTTGTGTTTGAAAAGTCCAGATTTAGTTCTGTTAAGTACAACTGTAAATATGGCAAAGGCCACTGACCAAATAGTATGTAAACCATCGCATTACCTACTTCAACTTTAACTATGACTAGCCATTTTTTTACTCCAATGTCTGACGCTTACAATATACACAAGTCATCCTTGCTTAGTTCAAAATATATGTAGATATTCCTTAAGTAGGCAGCTGAATTAACCTCTTTTAAAATGAAGATCATTACACAAGCAGAAACTAGTAAGCCTCTCTATACTTACATTTGTAGATGGGAGATAACCTAATCCTTCCAAGCATAATTTTTTTTGTTAAATGTTAATAAACATAGAATATCTGGGTTGGAAGGGACCTCAGGAGGTCATCTAGTCCAACCCCTTGCTCAAAGCAAGACCAATCCCCAATTTTTGCCCCAGATCCCTAAATGGCCCCCCTCAAGGATTGAACTCTCAACCCTGGGTTTAGCAGGCCAATGCTCAAACCACTGAGCTATCCCTCCCCCCCAACATCAATTTCACTGGGTACACAAATGCCTAAGTTTCAATCAATGGAATTTTGTCCAAAGTGAGATGCTGCTTGACAACTTACCACTTCAATTTAAGGATATTGACTGTGTATATTTTGACACATGATGACAATTTGTTAATGGTTCCAAAGCTTTAACTTTTCAATTTCATGTGCTGCCATTTAATTCTGACGCCCCAACTTTGTACAACTGAATTTAAATTCAGATCAATAAAAAATGCTTAAGTTTCTGTTACAGCTCTTCTGCAATGTACACTGAGCAACTCATTCCTTATTTGGTCACCAACACTACAACATGATCTAAACACCTAGGTCTCTGCTGTACCAGTAGGCTTGTGGAAGATTAGCCTTGCTGGATGGGAGAACTTTTGGTATGAAGTAGTCCAAAATGTGTCAGACCTACACTTGCAAGCAGTAGACAGAAAAATCCTTATTAATTCATTGGTGGTCTCCTTTTTGAGTGCTCATGGGTATAATTACCTCCCCTGAATTAAGGAGAAGACTTCCTTTAGTTTCCCCTGTTGGCTACTTTCATGGGCTTCTGCACATAGATGTTATCCTCTGCAGTAGAGTGTTATGATGCAGATCAGTGGTCATCAACTAGTCGATCACACTCTCCAGCGACTCAGTGGAGCTGCCGCTAAGACCGGCTCCTTGCCTGCCCTGGCCCCATGCCACTCCTGGAAGTGGCCAGCATGGCCCTGGGGAAGTGATGGGGGCAGGGGTCTCCCTCTCTGTGATCACTGACTCCGCAGCTTCCATTGGCCAGGAACGGGACACTGTGCCCAATGGGAGCTGTGGGGTTGGTGCTTGCAGAGAGGGGCAGTGTGCGGAGCCATGTGCTGCCCCACCTTCCCAGGGCTACAGTGGCACATTGGCCTCTTCTGGGAGTGGCGTGGGGCCAGGGTAGGCAGGGAGCCTGCCTTAGCAGCAGCCACACTACACCACCGACCAGGAGCTGCAGGAGGTAAGTGCTGCCCTCCCAGAGCCAGCACCCTAAACCAGCTCCTTGCCCCCTCCTGCACCCAAACTCCCTCCCAGAGCTTGCACCCCTCATCTCTGCCCTGTGCTCACTCCAGAGCCCTTGACACACTGCAAACCCCCCAAAGCCCACACCCCCCTATCTCAGCCCAGTGTGGGTGAGGGAAAGCGAGTGATGGAGTGAGTGGGGTGGGGAAAGGGTGGGGTAGATCCTGGGTTGCCCTTAAATTCAAAAGGTGATCTTGGGTGTAAAAAGGTTGGAGACAACTGATGTAGATGGTTGGCATTGCTCTTCAGTCATTCCTGAGACAGTGTTGGAGCACAGACTTAAGTTGCCTGCTGCAGGGCAGGGTAGGCCAGTGGGTCATCTCCAAATCTTTAACACTGTTGTCTGGCTTGGCAGTGACAGTCATGTCAAGCCAGTGTACTGCAATCTTGGGTATAGAGAAAGAAGTCTGCACACAGACTCCTGCATAATGTAGCTCTAGATGGCTGTCTAACCCTCATCTGCCAGAGGATGGCTTATAAGGCTGGAGGAGGAAAATGATGGGCATGTGATTTTTCCTTGGGAAAGAAGCTGAAGTGGGGTGAAGAGGATTTCACAGAATTTGAATAAACAGAAGGTGGTGGTCTTAACAGCTTGGTAGCCAAACCCAGTCAAGCTTTCTGCTCCATTTCAAAACCCAATGACACATCTCTTTAAACCATTGACACCCATTTTGGAAGAGTAGGTGGTTCTGTTGAGTTGGAAGGAATTGAGCCCCTAAAACTACTCAAAACTGCTCCTATGCTACTGAAGCACTTCAGCAGTGGAAGGCTTTGTTCTGTGTCTCTAGTAAATCCACCCCCTCAAGCGGTGGTACAGTAGAACCTCAGTTACAAACTGACCTGTCAAGCACACACCTCATTTGGAACCTGACAAATGCAATCGGACAGCAGCATGCTCCCCCTGTGTGTGGGGGGAGGGGGGACAAGCATGCAGCTGCTTGCATGCATGTGCAGCCCCTGACCCTGTTCCCTGGCTGAAGCACTGGAGGGGGGCAAGCCCCAGACCCCCGCTCCCCAGTGGGAGCTCGAGGGCTAGAATAAAACAGCTGGTGGGGCTGGATTCGGCCCCTAGGCCATAGTTTGCCCACCCCTGCTCTAATTGCTTCTCTTTTAAGTTTCCATTCACTAGATATGCCTCAACACCCTTCAAGTAACTTGTTAATACCCAGTGTTAGTATTCTGAAGGTTAGATACCTACTGCAGGAAGATGATATTGTGGCATTGAGCTGTTCACTTTTACATAATCACTGGGTCTTGAAACCTGTTCCTGATGTGTGAGCATATACAGCTGAAGTGAGGGAGAGTACTAGGCACTGTCTGGCTGTGAACTAGTCCTGTCAACAGATTAAAGGGATTACTTGCTTTGAAAACTAGTAATATTTTTATTACATCTGACCAAGCTTTTATATGAATGAGTCCTAAAGCTAACGAATTAATACTACTGTTAAAAGTTTACCAATCTCTTAAGGGAACGATCCTAAACTAGGCTCTGGAAACCTGCAATCATTTATGCAGACTTATAATAGATTTGTCACTAATTCAAAGTGACTTTTCTAGTTCCATATTTGCTTCTGAACTGCTGGTTTAGCAACTGAGTCTTGCTGACATTGCTGTCAATTCAGGGTAAACTAAATGAGGCAATATCTTATTCATATGTGATCTGTTACTGAATATGCAGACTTAAATGTAGCATTAAAATCTGCAATGTCATGTAGCACTTTCAACTGGTATGTAACACTACAGTATGTTCCAGTGCTTCTTGCCTAAGTGTTAATTGTTTCAAAATAAACTGATTTTAGAGGCGAGAAGCTACCGACTCTCTCTGAGGAGGGAGGCAGTGGCTTTAAGACTGC